GGGGGGGGGGGCGTGCGAGGCCAGTTGCTCCTTATTTATCAGCAGTGACACTATCAGCGGCGCCTTGTGAGAGGAGAGCCAGTCATTCAGAACAGCGGGGGCCACCTCGGCTGTCAAAGCAGGATTCAGGCTACGTTTTCCCACGGTTGCCATGACGACTGTGGGAAGTGATTATGAAGAGAGGGTTTCGGAGCAGTGCTGTCACACCAGTGGGTATTACCGTAGTGGTTTGCGGAGTGATCGCCAGAGAATTACTGGCTCATGATCAGACGGGGTTTTTTTTTTTTCTTTATTTTTTTGTGTTTTGAACCCAATCAAAAGCTCTGTTCTGTGATGGCAGAGCTGTAGTACTTTTTATTTATATGTCAGAAGGATTGGACTAATGCAACTGTTTTCTCTTTCTCTTTTCTAGGGCAACATGTGGATAAATGGGACAGGAACGAGTAGACCGTGAGGATTCTCTAACCCTTGCCCCCGAGTCCCAACCGTCTGAGAGGGTGTCGGACCTCACTGAGGCAATCCTGGGCCGTTGGCACTAAAATGTCCCTAAGTGGTGGCACTGCAGGCGGGAAAGGTGTGGACTCTAATGCGGTGGACACTTACGACAGCGGGGATGAGTGGGATATCGGTGTTGGAAATCTGATTATCGACCTTGACGCTGACTTAGAGAAGGACAAACTTGAGATGTCTGGCACCAAGGACGGCATGGCGGCACCGCCCAGTGCAGTGGCAGCGTTGCCTGACAACATCCGGTTTGTTAGTCCAGTGTCTGGCTCTCAAGGCAAGGAAAGCAAATCCAAATACAAGCGCAGTAAGAACTCTAAAGACAATAGTAGCAAAGCTTCAGCTGGAGATGGGGGCAAAAAAGACACTACAGGACGGACTCAAGGGGAGCCGACGGGCACGGCAGCGAGTGCAGGAGCTGCTGGCAACAATTCCACCTCTGGGAAGAACATGGAGAAAGGGGGCAAAGCCTCCAGAGGTGTTCTGAGTGGTAAAAAGGAGAAAGAAGGGGCTAAAAGTAAGAAGGACAAAACAGATGGAGCCCCAGTCGTGGCAATAGCTGCTGCAGAGAAGGATGTTGTGTCTCAAGCCCAAGTTGCTTTGGGGAGTAGTCGTAATACGTCCTTTGAGAACACACAATCAACAGACTTGGCAGAAGCCAATCAAATGGGGAATATTGCACTTGAACCTGTTGGGATAGTACCAGCATTGACCACAAAAACTGAACCAGAGGAGGTGGAAAATGGTAATAGTGAATGCAAGACGTTAAAGAAGGTGAAAAATGAAAAGGTACGTTCTTTTTTTTACTTTTAAAGTCAATTTCTCAGGTTTATGTTGACCCTAATGTTTGTATAGTTACCGTTACATTTGTACGTCAGTATCAAACATACAGTGAACTCTGTTAGCAACAACTCAGTTATCACTTCATCTAACAAGCCAACAAGAATTCGTCTGTTAGAAGTATCTCAGAAACCATACAGGCTTTAATGACCAGGCTGTGAATTAACACAATAGGACACCATAAAGACCGAACACTGTAGGGTTCTTCGAGCTGAGCTTTGTGATCGGCTGTCGCTTACAGCATGTTTGGAGATGCACTCTATTCCCTGAAGCTGCCTGACGTGTGATGCATAAAAAGACTGTTGTTTTCTCTTTTAATAAGGGCACCCTTAAGTAATTTCCCCACGGGGATTATTAAAGTATTTCTGATTCTGATTCTGACAAATATGACGCCGGGACCAGCTACAGGAAACGGCCCACACAGTGGTTTTTTTCATTACAGTAGAGGCTTAATTCGTTTGGAGGATGTTCATGTTTTACACATTTCTTATGCAGCATTAAGAATTAGCGTTATGTACTGTACATTAGCCGGTAAAACCAAATCAGACGAGAATATAACAGACGTTGTCGGCCGTATACATCACATTACGCCTGTGAAGTTGAGTAAATGTCACATCGTGTTCCACTTATTTCTCCTCTCGCAAAAAATTTCAACGCTGACATTATCTCGCAAGAACAATAAAAAGATTTGTGTATCTATTCACCCACACTTATCTTGTTCACTCACAGAGTTGATCTATCACTGTGCCCATTGTCTGCCTCATAGCAGCCTTTTCATGCTCTGGCAGTGTAAAAGACAGCAGAACGGGGAGGTGCTGAGGACTGTTTTTGTCTGTCATCGTGTTCCTTTCTTAATCCCACAAGCCCCAGCAATGCCTGGTGGAGCAGTGTGTGGGGGGAGGGAGCCTTCGTCGTTTTTCCTGCTGCTCTGAAAGTGGTATGGGGGAAGGGCTGCGAGGAAGCCTGTTTGATTCCTTAAATCCAGGACACCCAGTCATGAACACAAGCTGTAGAGTCTCCTTGGGCTGACTGCTGTGAAAGGATATTTCTGGAGAGTCTTTGTAATCATAATGTATTTGGAAAGAAAAGGCTTTTGAGGGAGAACGACATGATTTGGTTGACGGCACTAAATAAAAGAGAGAGGTCATAGCTGGTGAAAGGTATCCTCGAAATAGTGATGAAAATGGACATAATTGTGTCGCTGAGAACATCAGCATTGGTTTGAAGAGCGGTTTTTATGTTGGCAGTCCCACTTAATGGATGTGGTGCATTAAGAAACCAGCATACATACAGTGTGTATAAACATTTAATCACTTAAGGAAAAGAAACGGAGCAATAGTAAGGTTTGATCACAGCGGGTGTCGACACCGTTGTGGTTGGTAATACATATTGTTGCACATTTGAAGGACCACATCCTTATAATTTTCAGAACTGGTAAAAGGTCAAGGATACGTTAGACGTTACAGGGACGTGAGCTGGACTGAATTAAGACATCCGCGATGTAGTCGAAGAACCAGATGCCATGTTTTTAAGAAGAATCAGAAAGAAGCCAAGGTAGTTTTCACATTTAATGAATGTCTCTTGTGGTGTTGAGGAACAGCTGATAAATAAATACAATATACAATACAATGTGTTGATGAGGCTCTTTGTGTATTTAATAATAATAATAATAATACATTTTATTTAAAATAGCGCTTTTCTGAATACTCAAAGATAATAATAAATATAATAATAAT